ACTTGAACTCTCCCTATTTTTAAGATACTTTTATTTATTATACTAATAACAATATAATAACTATAACCAAGAAAACCTTTTCTACAATCTTATTGCTAAACAAATCTCTGACTCTTACAAGTCATTATTCTTTCCTTTGTTCTGATAGTCTTTTTCAGAGCAGATGCTTTCTTTTTTACTCCTTTGGGGCCCAAAGATGGCCCCTCTGAACCAGGTTTCTTTTTTTCCATTCCTAGCCAATGCTTTCTCTTTAGACCCTTTAACCATATCTCAGCACCTATTTATACCCCTTTGTATTTCTGGGAGGTTGGATCCAATAGCCCATTTTAAGAGTAAAACTCTTTGCTCCACAGAAACTACCACAGCAGTAACATCCTTGATGCATAGAGGACTTGAAGAGGGAACTTCATCATTTGAGAACAGAAAGCATGTGTATTAATTATCTATTGCTGCATAACAAACTATCCTTTAAATTTCGTGGCTGGAAATAACAAACATCTATTATCTCCAGGTTCAATGGTGGCTTAGCTGTGTGTTTCTGGCTCAGGGTCTTTCATGAGGTTGCACCAAAGAAGCTGAGTAGGGTTGTATCATTGGAAGGCTTGGCTAAGGTGGAATGATCTGTTTCCAAGTTCATTCATGTGGTTGTTAGTAAGAGACCTCAGTTCCTTTGTGGGCTTTTCCATATTGCTGCTCACATTATGGCCGCTAGCTTTCCCCAGAGTAAGTGATGTGTGTGTGTGTGTGTGTGTGTGTGTGTGTGAGAGAGAGAGAGAGAGAGAGAGAGAGAGAGAGAGAGAGAAACACAACCAAGATGGAAGGCCTAATGTCTCTTATAAACTAATCTAATCTTTGAAGTGTTATACTATCACTGTTCAGCATTATACCAACCCTGGTATGATGTGGGTGGGGACTACACAAGGGTATGAATAGCAGGGGGCAAGGATCATTGGGACCATCCTAGAGACTGACTACCATTGACTATCTACTTGGGCAGAGGCTAGGGGAAAGAAGAGCAGTGAATTTTGTGTTTGCATCTTAATTTATTCAAATAGTGCCCTCTGATATTTTGCAGTGTGCAATATATACAATTGTACATAGTAGTCTACGTAATAGTCCCTGACCAAGTGTTGGAAGTCAGAGTATTTATTTGTCCTTAGCACTCTTCCACTCCCTGTTAGGAATTCATTTATTCATTTATGCAACAAACATTTGTTGAGCACTTGATGCTGACCTCCCTGTTGGAAGGTAATGGGATTCTAGGGTCTAGGCTCTAATGGAGCTTCTATTTTCCCACATGGGTGTTGTCCTTCTTAAGTTTCCTTGACATTCAGAGTAACCACAGGGTACCTACAGCCCTTTTCAAGCCAGGCTGTAAGCAAATGATTATTGTCTTTTATTCTTTTCTCCCAAGGTCCTAATCTTTGGTAAACTTAATCTAATGTGATATTTCCTTCAGAGGGTACAATCCAAATATTTAACAATCCCTGATCATTGGGTATCTAACAATAATAAAAGCTGCCTAAACAAGAAGCAGCTCTAATAGTTTGATGTGTTTTGCTGAAATCCAGCCCAGCTATCCCTAGAGAAATATTTTCTATTGCTCTTCCAGTCAAACTTAACTGATTGTGACTCTACCTATTCACGAGGTTGGCAGTAACAAAAGTTATAAGAAGGGCCTCATACACAAAAAAATTCCCATTTGCCAATTTTAGAGGAAAACGTGTAGGCTCTAAATTAAAGCTCAGACATAAGAAGTGTAGAAAGGAGAGAGCGAGTTCATGATGATGGATCGATGGACCAGAGCAGGAAATACAAGGAAGGTGAGCTGTTTGTTTTGGAGACTAAGTTTGAGTCTCAGGGGAAAGGAACTGAGAAAATCAAGTAAAATCTATGTTTGTTAACACTGGTCTCATGCTAATGTGTTCTGAAGTTCACAAACTCCAGAGCCAAACTGCTCTTTTCAAATCCCAGCTCCGCTGTTCACTAGCTGTGTGCCTGTGGGCAAGTGACTTAATTTCTACAGTTCAGTGTTCTCATCTGTACATCAGGGTTGATTGAATGAAACCAACCTCATGGGTGCTTGTGAGTTAGTATATGTAAAGTACTAGAACTTAGCCTGGTACAAATTAAAAACACAGTAAATGCTAATTATTATTGAAGAAATGAGAACAATGTCTATTATGCCATCAACTGTAAGAGGTCAATTTCATTCACTCAACCACTATTTATTAATATATATTTATATATAGCAATGAACCCCAGTGCCCACATTCCCCCCCCCAAAAAAAAATCCTTGTTCTCAACGTGCTTATACATGGAGGAAGGAGAGAGAGAGAGAAGTGAAAACTAAAATAAACAAATAAGTGAGAAATATAGTATGTCAGATTTATTATGATGATCATGGAGAAAAATAAAGCAGAGGAGGGGTGATAGGAAGTGCTGTGGGAGGGGTGGGAGGAAAAATGTTCTAGAAATAGAAAATTATAAGTCAGAAGTCTTGAGGCTTAGAAATATTTGGTGTGCTCCATAACAGCAAGGAAGCTAGTGTGGCTAGAGGAAGATGAGACTGGGGTGAAGGTGTACAACCATGAGGTCAAAGGAGTCCTAGTTGGGGGTGGTGGGCAGAGCATGTAGGGACATGTGGCCATTGTCAGAACTTCGGCTGTTGTTCTAGGATGAGAAGACACTGGAGGTCCTGAAGCGAGACCCATGTTTTACAAGGTCACTCAGACTGTTCTGTGTGGGGATGGAGGGTGTGTGTGGTGGGGGTGGGGCATGGATAGGGAATAAATAAAATCAGGTAGGAAATTATTGAGAGATGATGGTGGCTTAGACCAGGGAATTAACTATGGGAAGAGAGGTAGGAAGAAGTAGATACTTTCTGGATATATTTTTGAAGGTAGAGTCAACAGAATTTGCTGATGAATTAGATGTCATGTGTAAAACAAAGAGAGGGGTCAAGGATAGGGTAGCTCTGAGAGCACAGGGATTTTCCTCTTTTATTCGGTGCCACATCTCAACCATCCAGACAGTGTCTGTTACTCAATAAATATTCCTTGAATCAATGAAAAAGGTAACTCTGATTTGTATGGTACCCTTCTTAAACTCTGTAAATGGCATATAGCAGTTAAAACATCTACAGATAACTGAAGTACTGTAGCAACCATGGTTTCAGCACTTAAGCAGAGAAACCCTCCCAATCCCTTCATAAAGTTGGAAGTTGACATTACTTCATCCTTGGCCTCCACGGCCAATGACCAGGACTAAAAAACAACTTTGATACTTTCTGTAACAGAAGAGTACTTCCTTATAAATTATTCATTGTAAAGGAACAAAACCCAACAAGATATATACCTAAGAGTATATGTAAGAGCAGTTTATGTGGAGAAAAGCATGGAGACCCAGGAAATGGGGATTCTGCCATTTATCCTTACCAAACACTTGCAAAACATATTGAAACAAAATCAGTAAATGAAAATGTTAATACACAAAGATTTTATGAGGTAAAATAAAATATGCATACATTTTAGGCAGTCTATGAAATTCTCTACTTTGGTCATATTTGAAATATTAAAAAGCAAACTTGGTACATTATGTCATATTTTCCTATTAATATATTGTGCCATGTGAGAGGCATGAGAGCTACATAATTGATAATGATCACACGATATGCTAATTTCTAATCCTCCAATATATATTTTAGGGTTTAAGGGTAACCCATATCCTTGAGTAATACACAAAAACGGACCTACTTTTTGCTCAGTGCTCATTTATGGAGGCTAGAAGCCAACACCTGTTTTTGGCAATTTTCAGGGATATTATAAAGTAATAGTCAGTTCTTGAAGAAGGCATTTGATCAAAGGATTTTCAGTGCTAGACATAGTGGATCTTGACTGGCTCCTGTCCTCTGGGGTGTTGCTGCACTGATTTCTTGAGGCTGCTCGCGTTGCGGTGGGCTTTGCAGGGCTGTCTTCAGTCCAGGCTGGGCAGTCTTCTTTCCCCGCATGCAGTGACATACAGGAGAGGTTTAGCAGCAGCCGTGTCCATCAGTTGGTAAGAAGAGCTGGGGTGGGGGAAATTTTGTGGAAGTCTGGTTTGCAATGCAAGTATAGATTTTGTTCTTTTTAAGAATGGTTATTTGGGGGGTGAAGATGCCAGGGAAACCTAATATTCCCTCTGGTCACCCACAGAAGTGCTCCTGTTCCCATACCCTTCCCCTGGGCGTGAAGGCAGCATTCCATCCTCACCGACAGTGCTGCTCCTCCCACCCCCAGGATCCCAGGGCTCGCGGCCCTGCGCTCCTGGCTGCTGCTGTCCATTCTGGGCCGGGCCAAGGACCTTCGTGGTGCAGTGTAGGGTGCAGAGAGTGGCTCAGCCTGGGCGAACTTCCCAGGCCAGTGCGAAGTTTTCTCATCTTGGGTGCGTGTGGGCACCACGCGTCTGAGTTGTGTTCAGTGTGTCCACAGCGCCCGACCTGCAGCCCCTCTGCGAGAGCTCGGAGGCAAGTGTGAAGCCAAGGGCTGCAGTGGATGGGGTAAAACGCCGCCCGGCTTGGTCTCAGGGCAACTTCCACCCCCAGCCAGCATTTCCCTTTAATGCGCGTGCCCGTCAAGGTCCCCGCGTCCCCTCCCTCAAGCCGTCCCGTCAGCCTCGGTTTCCCTCACCTCTCCCGTCCCCGCCGTTCCCTTAACGTGGGACGCCCCTCGCCCACCCCTGCTGCTGCTCGCTGGCGGGACTCGCTGTCACTTTACTTTTCCACACCACCGCCTCCCCGCCCCCTGGCCCGGCAGCCGGCCGTGCCCGCGCCGCCCCCGCCCCCTCGCGGCGGCGCGCCTGGAGGAGGAGGGGCGGAGCGGAGTTGGGGGGGCAGGGAGGCGCGCGGAGCTGCACGGCCGACGTGGGGCTCGCGCTCTCGCGGTCTCTCCCGGGCAGGCGCGCGGGCACGCGCACTCGCAGGCGCGCGCGCGGACGGCGGGGCGGAGGCAGCGGCTCACGGAGGCGGTGGCTTCACTTTCCAGGACTCAGAGGCGACCACAGCAGCAGCAGCGGGCAGCAGCCTCAGGAGCCGGAGCTGGAACGGCCGGGGGACGGCGGCGGAGCTAAGGGTGAGTCCGGGCGGCCGCAAGCGTGGCGGGGACAGGCGTGGTCGGGCAGTCCGGTGCGTGGCTCCGCTCTCAGAGGCTAGACGGTCTGCGGGGCCACCCAGTACTCGGGGCCTCCCCTGTCCTCCTCCCCCGCCTCCGCAGCCCTTCTCCCCGAGCTCGGGCTGGATCCCGGGACCTGCGCAGACGCCCCTGCCTCAGGTATTCGCCCCGGCCGAGTGGGTCCTCCCCACCCCACCCTTGGGCGTCCTCTCTTTCGAGAGCGACCCCCACCTTCTCTCCACGTCGCAGGTCTCCGCTTACAACGCTGGCGTCCTAGTTCCTTCCCTCCGTGCTCCCCCGCGTGCCCCATTCCCTGCACCCCTCCCTCGAGCCTCCTGCCCCAGTTTCTCGCCCTTTCCACCCCTCCCCCTCCTTCCCATCCACCCCCCTTCTGCTTCTTCCCTCCTTACCCATCTTCTACCCCCTCACGTTCTCAGTTCCCCATCCTTCGCCACCCTTCCAGCCCCTTCCCTCTCCCAGCCGCATCCTGGAACTAAGTCTTTGCAAAAGTACAGGATAAATGTCACGGTGGAAAGTGCCCGGCTTGATCTTTTGCTATTTTCCCTAATTGCATAATTGCTGCACATGGTGTATCTCTGGGCGAGTGCCGGGTCTGGCTCCTCCGCTGCCGTCGCAGCACCCCCGTGGCCCGCCCGGAGAAGACCTTGTGGGGTGTGTTTGTGTGTGCACTGGTGTGGAGTGTGTGTTGTATTGGTCTTTTGTGAAGCCTAGCGCTTGTCACACTTTGGAGACGAAGCCCATTTTTTCTCTGGTTTCTTCTCTACAGCCCCCACTGGCCTGGTTTGAAACTGGATTCCCTCTGCCCCCCCTCATCCCCCCCCTTCTCTCATAATGTTTTGATCCTTTTGCCCTTTACCATTTCTAATGAAGATAAAGCATAGCTTCTTGTGGCTTTTTTCCCTTACGACCATCCAGGAATGTCCAATCCATCTTCCCTTAAGGAAATTAAGGCCGCTTTAGAAAGACATCATCCTGTGCTCGGTGGTTCTTAGACCTATTTCCATGTTTTCAAGATTCATCGTTTTGTATTGTGTATACTTGAGAGTCTACTCAAATATTTTTTACTTAAAAGTACAAAAGGAAGTGCTACAGTTTACCATAATTTTTTAAAATCCCTGATTCTTTAAAAAGTATGTTTTAAAATATGTTATAATTCAGTCTGGACCTTGGAATCTAAATATTTGTGTTTACCCAGACAGTTTGGATGCCCTTGGTATATGGGCAGATGCTCTTGATGGAGGGTTTTCACATAATGTCATACCCTATTCTGTCTTCCCCAGAACATAGCACCTTTCTCAAAAAATCGGGTGTCCACAATTATTTCCTGTATAAATATCTTTACACTTAAGTTAAAAGCTAGATATTGCTAGATGTGTATATAATGTAAATTATTTTACATTTTAGAAAAGTTTAGGAACGTGAGTAGGAAGACAAATAGAGGGATATTAGATCGCAGAATTAAGCATTTTTCTGTTGTAAAAGCTCCGAAGAACACTTGCATTTGCAGTTTTATACCATGAGATACAGTTATAAGGCTTATCTGGACAGTAATCCGGATTTATGGAGTGAGTATAGTTCCTTTTATGTTATCAGTAATATTTATAACCAAATTATTTCATTTTTATGGAACATGTGGGTTTCATTCACTATATGTTGCTAATTTCTAGGACTGTAATTCTAACAGAGTTCATAGCGAATACAGGTTTGGGTAATTTGTGTGTTGAAGAAAGAACAATATCTAAGCTCTTAATTTAACACATGTTTGAAGAAAGTCTACCTTACTATTTTATGTTTAGAAACAAATTTTTATATTGAGTCCGAAGTAAAAATATAATTTGAAATTTCTTAAAATCTTTGAAACTATCATTGATGAGTAGCTCTGTTTATAACCGTGGGATTTAAATTTATCTTTCCTCTAGATTAGATGATTGGATCAAATTAGCTATTTAGGAATTAATCTTAAAGATAATTATTAAATGATGCTTTAGAAGATAACATTTAAAGAGTTAAAAATGTTTTTTTATTTATTGATTTTCTGAGAGAGAGAGAGATCAGTTTGTTCTTCCACTTATTTCTTGTATGTGCCCTGACCAGGATGGAACCTAAAACCTTGGGGGATCTGGATGCCACTCTAACCAACTGAGCTACCCAGCCAGGGCAAAAGAGTTTTAATTCAGGGATTTTTATTCACTTATACTTTAGACAAATACCAGGTTTATGCTTACAACTAATTAAAATGATAATGGACTATTTTTTCTTCATAAAAGTTAGTTGCCACTTGAATGGTACAATCATTTTTTCCCATACTTTTTTCTGTAATTAGTCACTCAAAAACAAAACCAGCAGAAATTTGCCTTACTCTTAATATTTGAAAAAGATATGAAAACTTGGTTTCCAAAACATTCTGTAATGGTTATTAGTGGCCTCCAGTGAATTCACCTTCCCTATGTTAAGATTTGATGAAATAAGTATCTTAGGTAAAAAATGGAAGGAATATTTTTCTTTCTTGTGAGACTATAGGAATTGTACATCTATTTGGGTATTTCAAATAATAGTTTTACTAGTTCTCTGCTTTTGTGGAGCAGTTTATGAAAAGTAGGTTTCAGTTTATAGCTCAGATTAATTATGTCAGTCAACTGTCTTTTAAGTAATTAATGTATTCATGGCATTGTTAGATAGTACGTAAATGCACATAAATAAGAATATTAAGAAGAATGGATAGCTTTATAACTAATGAAATATACAACTGAAACTCTAGACATAGTTTATTAAACTGAAGCTCCAGCTTCAGTAACAATTTTATTTCATTTAGATTTCCATATATTTATCATGTAGTGGATTGTTTCTGGTTTAAGATATATAAAATGATTTCTTACTTCACATTTCTTACAACATTGCCCAGAGCATTTTGTTATATCCTGGGGCCTTTCCCTGAGAATTGTTCTCTTTCTCATACCTGTGCATATCTGCTCTATCTAAATACTCTTACGTACATACTTCATACTTGCATGGGTTTTTTGTTGTTGTTGTTTTGTTTTTTATCTTCAGATAGAGTGGGGGAGAGAGAGAGAAAAAGAGAGAGAGAGACATCTATCGGTTGCCTCCCGAACAACCCTGACCAGGGCCAGGGTCTAAACCGCATCCAAGGCACATACCCTTGACTGGAATCGGACCCTCGACTCTAGTCTGAGGGCCGACCACTGAGCCAGACTGGCCAGGGCCATACTTACAAGGTTTTTAAATTCTCACATATATATATTTTTTTATCCTCACCCAAGGACATCCTTCCATTTTTTGTTCAGATAGAGTGGGAGGGAGAGAGAGAGAAAAACATCGCCGTGAAAGGGTCACATCGAGTGGTTGCCACCCACACGACCCAACCAGGGCCAGAGAAAAACTGCAACCGAGGTATGCGCCCTCAGCAGGAACCGAACCCTGGTTTCTCTGGACCACAGGCCAATGCTCCAACCGCTGAGCCAAACCGGCCAGGGCAAATTCTCATATACTTTAACTGAAAGAAGTAAGCAGAAAAAAAATGTTGAGTCTAAGAACGAGAATTAAAATGAAATAAAAATGAAAAAAAAAAAGCAAAAAATATGTTAGGACTAGATGTGAAACATACTGATATAAAAGTTCAGTATTCTGCCCTGGCCGGTTTGGCTCAGTGGTTATAGCGTTGGTCTGCGGACCAATGAGGCACGGGTTCGATTCCGGTCAATGGCATGTACCTTGGTTGCAGTTCGTCCCCAGCCCAGGTGGGGTCGTATGGGAGGCAACCAGTTGTATCTCTTTCCCGTAGATGTTTCTCTGTCTCTTTCTCTCTCCCTCCTTCCCACTCTATCTAATGATAAATAGAAAAATATCCTTGGATGAGGAATAAAAAAAAAAGTTTAGTATTAGGTGGCTTTAGTGCTCATGAAAGATGTCACAGCTGTGGAGACTGATGCTCTCCATTTACAGAACAGGTAAAAAAATAAAAAGCAGCCAGATTTCCCTGTCTGTGTGTTTCAGAGCTGCTTGGGCAAACCAATGTTTGTTTGGCTTGGAGGAAGGGAGCTGTTGGAGTTGAGAGATATTTGTGTGGTATCTCATTGAAGGCATTTAGTATTTTCATTTGACTCTTCACTTCTCTCTGCTTCCTCAATTTCCCACTCTCTTGCAATGCTTTATGGTTTGTCTTACCATAAAAATTTCAACTCATTAAAAGGTTTGTGTTATGAAATCCCTTTGATAGAGCAAGTTACAAATTGAATTTTTTTGATGAATTTTTGCATTGTCAACTAACAATATATTTGGCCTAATAATAGTAATAAGAAACAGTGCTTTGAGATATCTTTCTCTTATATATTAATTATTATTTTTTATTAATTTATTTTTGTTATAGATGTTTCTCCTTTTCCCCCCATTGATACCCTCCTCCCAATCCACTCCCTGCCCCATCCCCAGCATTGTTGTCTGTGTCCATTGGTTATGCATGTTATATTAATTAATCTTGATCATATCAAATATAATTTATTTCAAGTCAAATTTGATTAAGAGAAATAATATAGTCCTTTTCAAAAGGAATTTGTTCCATTTATCTGTGATTTTTAAAAGGTATATTTTGTGTTATTAATGTCACTTCTTATATTTACGTAGTTCTTTTTTTTTTTTTTTTTTTAAAGAAGAGCTATCTGGGAAGGTAGCTATACCATACTCAAAGTGGTTCTTAAGTGACAGTAGTAACATGGTGAGCACAAGGCCCTTTAGAGTCTAGACATCAGTTTTGTCAGTTTGGTTTTGGATTTGTCAGTACACTTTAAGGTAGTTGGTTCTTACAGGATGTATTTTAGTATTCAAATTCAGATATTGATTATGATAGAATGACAGATAGGGAATATTCCTTTTCACTTACTGCAGTTTCTTACGTCTGCTGTTTAGCTTATAACAGCTATCTATGTATCAAAGTATTGAGGAAATTGAGTTGGCAATCAGAGCTGCTTGGGGAGCATGAACTCAGAGTAAAGGGGATTTGAAAGTCTTGAGGGATATCTCATTCAGACTGTGGTGAATAAAAAGAATCCTTCAGTGTCTCAGTACAGTCTTCATCTCTTGTGAAACATGGTTGCTTGGTACATGTCTGTATCAGTGCTGACACCATCATATGGTTCAGTTTTTATTTAGGATCACGCAGGCTTCTTTGTTCTTCTGTTATCACAAAGATTACTGAAAACAATCAATTAGTTGAGAGGATTTTAACCTCAGCACAGTCCTGAACATGTGTTCATTGTATGTGAATGGGAAAGTGTCCCTCATTTTTCTGTTCCTGTAGCTGTTTTTTACTAACCTTTTAGCATTTAGCAAGTTGACTTACCATCTAGACCAAATTTCTCATGTGTGTGGAACAAAGGGCCTAGCACAGAGTCTAGTGGAGTGTGGGCCCTTATTATTATTATTATTATTTTTGGTAACAGCTTTATTGGTTATAATTCACATACTATGAGATTCACCCTTTTAAAATGTGTAACTCAGTGGTTTATAGAGTATGTACAGTTGTGCAACATCACCATTATCTAATTTTGGAACATTTTCACCACCCCAAAAAGAAACTTTGTACCTATTAGCAGTTCTTCCCATTCTTCCCTCACTCTTATTCCCTGGCAACTACTCACCTACTTTTCTCTCTGTGGATTTGCCTGTTCTGAACATTCATATGAATGTAATCATATAGTTTATGGGCCTTTGTGACTGGCTTCTTTCACTTAGCATTATGTTTTCAAAGTTCATTCATGTTGTAGCATGTATATTCTATGCTTCATGCCTTTATATGGCTGAATAGTATTGGGTGGATATACCACATTTGGTTTATTCGTTTGTCAGTTAGTAGACTAATGTTGTTTGCTCTTTTGGGCTCTATGAATGATGTTGCTGTGAACATTTTGTGTATATTTTATGTTTTCATTTCTCATCTCAGTAGATTTTGAATGGATGAAAGAAAAGTTTTGTTAATTCCCAAACTTGTTTTGTAAATGACCAATTTATTCATTTTATCTTAGCCTTACTTATTCTACTTTGAGGCTCATTTCCTCTGTTTTTGAGGCAACTTGTCATTAGGCCTCCCACAACTCAATACATGCTTTTTGCTTTTTTAAACTAGGATCTAAAATGTCCACGGAGGCACAGAGAGTTGATGACAGTCCAAGCACTAGTGGAGGAAGTTCTGATGGAGACCAACGTGAAAGTGTTCAGCAAGAACCAGAGAGAGAACAAGTTCAGCCCAAGAAAAAGGAGGGGAAAATATCAAGTAAAACAGCTGCTAAATTGTCAACTAGTGCTAAAAGGTACCTTAAGTTATTGTAACCTTTTTATTTTTAGTATCAATTTATTGTCTTAAGTTCTATCTTTCTGTTGCATTTAATCATTTTTTTTGGATGTAGACCATGAAATTCATGGTTTTTTCTTCTTCAAGATTATTTCTTTTACATGAACTTACAGGCAATATGAACTTATTGGTAAAGTCAGTTAAGCAGCATGGCAAATTAATAAAATACATATCCATAGTGTGTTTTGCGTGTATTTGTGTAGGTGAACATATACAGGAAAATGCATGTAAAAGTGTGATGGTTTGATTTATAGTTGCAGGACCATAAATATATATATCTATATTTTTGTGGCTAATCGTCACCTTAGGATATTTTTCCATTGATTTTTTAGACAGAGTGAAAGGGAGGAAGAGAGAGAGATAAATATTGATGTGAGAGAGAGAGACATTGATTGGTTGCCTTCCACACAACCCTGACTGGGGCCAGGGATTGAACCAGGTACGTGTCCTTGATGGGAGTCAAACACACTACCCTTCGGTCCACAAGCCGATGCTATAACCATTGAGTCAGGGCTTGACCATAAATATTTTATTCTGTGGAGTAATACAGACTAGAGGGTAGGAACCTATATTTTGTACTATTCCCTGTTAGTAAAGTGAGAAATGCCGCAGTTTACAACAAGTGCATCTTGGTTTCATTATGTTAGGCAGTGGGTCAGTCTTTTTTTTTAATCCTCACCTGAGGACATTTTTCCATTTTTTGTTCAGATAGAGTGGGAGGGAGAAAGAGGAAGAGAGAGAGAAACATCGACGTGAAAGGGGCACATCGAGTGGCTGCTTCCCACACGATCCAACCAGGGCCGGTGACAAACTGCAACCGAGGTATGTGCCCTTAGTGGGAACCAAACCTGGATCTCTCTGGACCGCAGGCCGATACTCTAATCGCTGAGCCAAACCGGCCAGGGCAGTGGGTCAGTCTTGATAACAGATTTTCTTTTCCTCTAGAAAACAGATATATCTGAAAGGTAGATACTTGAATGATTCTCTATTGCCACATCAATTGCTTATGATCACTGGCATGCCACTGGACTCAGCAGAGAGAATCTGCTTTAATATTGTTACATTATCAAATATCTCTTGGAAAGTAGTTTAAAGGAAAATTAAATTTAGTAGAGTCTTCTTCAGGGCCGAGGACAAACTGCAACCGAAGTACATGCCCTTAGCGGGAACCGAACCCGGGTCTCTCCGGACCGCAGGCCGACGCTCTAACCGCTGAGCCCAACCGGCCAGGGCAAATTTAGTAGAGTCTTGATCCGGTAATACAATATTCTTGTTTTGTTTTAATACCTTTTTATATCAAAAAGCAAGTATATATAAAAGAAGTCTGTAAATTTTAAGTAGTCTAAAAAGGCTAAATGATAGCTTCATATTTTATTGGAGAGTATGGATTAGGGGGAACTCCTTTCCCAAAGATCAAAAACCATACTGGTCTAATAGACCTTGTTTTCCCTTTGGCCTAGTCAGTCCTCAGGATGGGAAGAACCTTCTCAGGCCCTTTGGTAGGATGTAACTTTTTAGGGAGAGATGGTGGAGTGATGGTGAGTGGTCATCATTCTAGGGATTAGGTTAGTCAGTTTCCCCTTTGCAGAAGTGTGTTGCTGATTCCTGACCTCTGTTGAAGGAGTTGTGTGAAAGTTAGCCTTGAACTTGAAACATTTATTTATTTATTTGTTGTATTTTTTGCTATTGGTTTATTTATGATACTCAAAGTTTCTGATCTACATATACCCATTTATATGGTGAAGATATTTTTGTATACTACCTTTTCACTGTCCTATAAGGTATATTTATTTATTTTTAAATATTTTTTCTTTATTAATTTCAGAGACAGAGGAAGGGAGAGGGAGAGAGAGATAGAAACATTGATGAGAGAAAACATAGATTGGCTGCCTCCTGCATGATCCCCACTTGGGACGGGCCTGGGCATGTGTCCTGACCGGGCATCAAACCAGTGACCTCTTGGTATATGGGTCGACACTCAACCACTAAGCCACACCAGCCGGACAAACTTGAAACCTTTAAAACCTCTATACTAGAACTTGCTAGTGCTGGGGAAAGGGTTCAGTTTGTTTTTGTTATCACACCATAAGTCCAGAGACCTTCAGTTGGCTGACCCTATCCCTCTGCTACTTGGCCACAATACAAAATGGCCTGCTGTTGGGAAATGAGGGGTGGAATTAGTATGGATTGGAAAGGTGGGAATGGAGAAAATACGACAGTTAGATGAAAGAAAGGAGTTTGGGGGTGGGTGGGTAAGAGATATTCAAGTGCAGATTGTGGCCCTGTGTAAATGAGGAAATTCTAACTCAGTCCTTAGTTCTGATAGTGAGGATTTTTCCAGGGCCTCTTCAGCTTGTCAGAAAAGGAAGAGGCCGGGCTGGCCAGGTCTGTGGGATGTGGGATCTGGTGAGTGCTTCTGCCAGGTTGTGCTCTGCTTGCCCATGACTGCTCGTTAGCAAAGACTCCTGTCTGTGTTCATGAGGCCCTGCCTTTTCCCTTGGCTGGCAGCACCACCATAAAATACCTCAAAATCATATTTCTTGGGTGATACAGCAAATACAAAATTCTGCTTACGAAAGAGAGTAAACTGTATAATGTGTGCAAGTAAAGCTGATGTGAGATTTTTCAAGTACATGGGTCATCTTTTCATTTTATTACAATGTATACAAAGTATAGATTATATATTGAAACCTACTCCCCCCACTCCCTTAAATAGGGGATAAAACCTAATTTTGAGATGGTGTATGTGCCTGATTGTCACATAATAGAAATTAGTATTATTGCATTGATGAAAGTAAGAAATATATATATATATTTTTATCCTCACCCAAGGATATGTTTATTGATTTAGAGAGGAAAGGGAGGAGTGGGGGAGAGAGAGGGAAAGAGAGACAGAGAGAGACAGAGAAACATCCACGTGAGAGAGAAACATAGATAAAATATGGATCAGTTGCTTCCCATACACTCACTGACTGGGGACTGAACCCACAACCTAGGTATATGTCCTGATGGGGAATTGAACTGCAACCTTTTAGTGTTCAGGATAATGCTCCAGTCAACTGAGCCACCTGGCCAGGGCAGAAGTATTTTTTGAGTTGCTTCTTGGCTGAAAGAATCCCCCCATTGGCAAATGCATTCTTGTGATTTTCAAATTGTGATTCATGACCTTCCTCTAGGTGATCTCTGGGTGGTTATGGGTGACAGTGACTTAGTCATTTACCATTTGTTTTAAATATAAAAATACTACTTCACTGTTAATTTTTTAAATAAAAAAGCTTAATTCTTTCTCTTCTCCCAATTTAGTCGATGGTGAAGTTATTATTATTTTTTCCCCCATCTCTGCTTAAGTTCTAAGAGCTGAGAAAGAAATTGGGAATCATGAGGGTGAAGGCCTACATCTTTATAACTCACTATTATGTCCGCAGTGCCTATAGTAGGGTCATAATATTTATTTACTGGTTGCCTTAGACTTTTGAGTTTATTATAGGGATTGGAACTTCCCTGGATATTAGGATCTGGGTACTAATGTGTTCAGAAGATTCAAAGTTAGAGATCCTTTCAAAATAAAATTCTAATTTATACTCTATTATTGATAATTTATTTTTATTCAGATCAGAAGTCTTTTCCAATTAGTGTCATTTTATGAAAGATAGTTAATCAGAAGTAGTGCAAAGCATGGATTCTAGAGATAAGATCTGGGTTTAAATCTAGGTGCTGACATTTAGTAGCCTTGTGATCTTAGATACATAATTTAACATTTCTAAGACTCAGTTTCCTCTTCTTTAAAATAGACATCATAATGGTACCATCTTCACAGGGCTGTTGTGAGGACTGAATTTATTTGGCACATAGTAAGGTGTCACACACTGATACTGTCATTTATAGACTTTATGCCAGTTAAAGTCTATAAAAAATTTTTCAAGTCCATTTTATAAACTTTAGGAGAATGAGGTATATATTAATCTCTGATGACTTAATGCTGTTGTTAAACCAGAAACACTCAGATGCTATAATTATATACATTTTATAGTAACTCAAAAAAAGAACTTTGCACAGAGGTGCTCAATTACATGAAATGTACTGTAATTGTAAAATGAATAATTTGGTGTAGAAACATGTCTGTGTCATTCGTAATATTTGCAAGTGTGTAGTGGGACTATGTCTGCAGTGACAAATTTTGATGATATTAAATTGGCTAATCAGTTCCATAAAACATCTGTTTTGAGCTCTTCATTGAATTGATTGTACTGCTTCTTTCATGGGTTGACATCTGTAAGTGTGAATTTTAAATCACATTTATTCCAAATTAATTCAGAGTAGATATTGTGGCTTTATTAGACCCAATATAATACTGTTCTAGGAATGATATTTGGTTTTAGACTCCAAATTTTAGTTAGGTTGAATGGTGGATTCTATTGTGAACTTTTATTGTTTATTTTCCACATGAGAATGAAGTAGTACTCTTTATAGATAATCTTTTATAATTATTGTATTTTCTTAATTATAAATGTACATTTAAAACTTTTTAATGTTTTTGAAATCAGGGTACATCTTACAGTTGATGTGCACAATCATTTAATTGAGAGTGTCTTAAAAATCAGTGGTCTCTTAGGATCACAGATACATAGTTCAGTTGACCCTTGAACAGCTTGGGTTTGAACTGCATGAGTCCTCTTATATGTGGATTTTTGTTTTCGATAAATACCTGTATTGTTTTTGTTCTACAGTTGGGAGTCTCAGATGTGGAAGGCCAGTTGTATGCATTGGTCTATACCATTTTATACAGGGACTTGAGCATGCACGCATTTTGATATACGAGAGGTGATCCTGGAACCAATTTTCTGTAATACAATGGGAGGGTAGTTAAGTTTTTGGAGAGTCAGAGGTTATACATGTATTTTCAACTGCGAGGTGGTTGGTGCCCCTAACCCCAGTGTTGTTCAGAGGTCAAGTGAATAT